TTTATTTATTTTAACATATTTGCTATCTAATTTCAATTTTATTTAATATTTTAGACTTAAATTTATGTAAATAAATGTTAAAATATTTTTTATAATCAAATTTCTATCCATAAATTTATGATTTAATTACTAAAAATTATAAATATAATATTAAAATCTTACTTCGATCAAAATTAATGTAAATTTGTCTAAAAATAAATTTTAAAAATTATTTTAATACCAAAAAGTTGGATTATTTAAATTGAAGTCTCTTTTTAAACTGATTTTATCTGTTAAAAAAAAATATACAAATATTTTATTTAATAATTTAAAAAAAAAGCTACAAAATTGATTCATTAAATTCCCAATTTTTCAATATTTTTTTAATAAATTTTAGCAACAGCAAAACACTTTTTACAATAATAAATAAATCTTTGTAAAATCTAAAATATTTTCATTTTTCCAACAAAAAAAAAACACACCTATAAACTATAAAGCAGTTCTATGATAATACAAATAGTCCCGAAACCCAGATCAACTTTAGCCAAAGTCAAAGATTGTGCAGAAGTCAAAGATAGTTGGCCAGGGAACAAGGGGCTAAGAGAGCCATGCAAAGTCAATTGGCGAAAAAACCCCGGAGATTAATCTAATCTTGTAAGGGAGAACGGGCCGAAGACGCTAGAAAGGCCAAAATATTTGCAGACAGTGAAAGGATTTAGATGCGAAAATCCCCATAAATCCAATTAACACAAATCTGCATAACGGGTTAAGGTTTGGCCAAGCCAAAAAGGATTACTATCTAGCACCACCCTACAACCTACACACCCCGGGCACCCTACATCCTAAAATTTCAATTGAATATTTTTTGCATATTCCTTTTACCTGGTTAAATATCTATTCCCGAGATATATCTGTTCTCTCTTTCGGATTACCGCAGACGATCCCTTGACTTTTCCTGCTAAGCGATCGTAAAACGTGGATTATGCATTTATGGCACCCCGCGGCAGTGTCGAAACCACCCAGCCACCCACTCGGTCATTCGGCCATTCGGCCAGCAACCCGCAACCCACAGGACCTTTGGTCAAAGGGTGCGGTTTAATCCGAGACCACCAAAAACCGATGTGAGGGCCATATAGCTGCACTGAAAAGAAATTTTGGGTGGTTTCGGAATGTTCTTGAATGTTTTTTGATAATAATTTGAATTTTTGGTTTGAATTTGAGGTTAAATCTTTAATTTTTGAACATTTTTATCAACCTTTTCTTAAAGCATTAATTCATTTTCCTCTTTAAACACTCAAACTCATTGGCGTGCCCTTAAAACTGGTTTAAAATATAAAAAAATGCTTTTATTTTTCTAGAAAAAATCTTTAAAAATAGTTTAAATATCCACCTTTAAGACCCTAAAAACCAAAACTAAACCCGCAAATCTTCTCTACTTTCTCACAGTGCAGAAAACCCGAAGATGTCGCATTAATCCAAGCCAAAGACCACCGATCCGGATCAAGAATCAATAATTACGATTCAGGCGTAACCGAGTCGGGGGCTAGGTAGCAAAACAGAACGAGGTAATCCTGGCTGGTTCGTCCGCTTTCGGGATTAACAGACGATCCGGCAAGAAATCCCGCGGATGAGGAGCTTTGATGCGGCGAAGTCAAAACTTTTCCAGCTTAAACCTAGCTTAGGAGTCCTACCAGCCGCATACCTGTCCCTACTGTGATCTCTGATCTACGCCTTGTTTGGTGGGCTCGTCGAAGTTAATCAATTGATTATGACAACGGATCGGATCAGATCGGAACGTGATGGTTAAGATCGTTTCTTGGGGATGTGTAGGGTTAATGCAGGGTGGTTGACTGTTGTGGACTAGGGCAGGGGATTGAAGGGATCGATGGGTGGTCTTATATCTGGAGTCACTTCCTCTAGATTAAGATTCATTTTGCATAATGTTTTGAGAGATTTAGAGATGTCTTCTAAGGGAGATCTTCTTCTTCCGATTTGCTTGGGATCTTAAGTGGGATTGAGTAATGATAAGGTGCTTAATCTATCTATATATTTTGGGCATACTTTCTGTAGATCTTAGAACTAACATTTTATAGATCTAGATCTAGAAATCTGACAAGAAATATCTCATTCTATATACCCATCTCTTAGCTATCATCACTTGCAGATTTTCCTAAATCTCTTTCTAAGTTTTCAGTTTTCCATTTCCTATAATCACATTACTTGGCCCATAGTAGTTTTCCGAAATGATTTTCCAACTTCACTTGACCTAGTGGTGCAAAGAAGTGGGCGTGTTCGTTGGTGGGCGGCGGGTAGATAGGGATAGCGGGAACTTTCCTTGCTGTTGCTGCCGACTTTTTGCTAATTGATTATGCGGCGACGTGGTGGCCCAAGGACAAGCAGAAGAAGAAGCACAACAACAAGAACAAGAACAAGGACAAGGACTCGCAGAGGAAGGGAAGGTGTAGAGGGGTGAGGGGGTATTTCCTGAAAGGGAGGCGGAAAGAGGGAGGGGCTAGGCAGGCGCAGGCAGACGGTCTTCAAGTCTAGTTGACTTCAGCAGTGTCATAAATCTTCGGCAGCCAAAGGAGCCAGAGGAACTGCTGGCCAGGAAGGATCGCTGCGGGGAGGAAAGGGTAGAGCAGGGAACGGAAAGTGGGAAACAGGGGAGACTGGCAGCACGAGACAGGCTCCTTGTTGTTGGTAGCCTGGCAGCCTCAATATAATTGTATCTTCCGTTTCATTACATGTTGCCCAGAAGTCCCAGTTGCATACCCAGTAAAGCTAAAGAAGGGCATATACGGTTGGCTATGCTTTAAGTTATTTACTTTATATAATTTGGGTTTTATACCTGCTTAAGGATATTTTTTATTGTTATCCCTAAATTGCGCCATCCAACTATAGTTTCTATTGTTTTCCTTTCTTATAGAGATTTACATGGATATCGAATGATATTCTGGGGATTTCTTATCTCAATAACTTATTTCACATCCCCATATATCTTGCAATATAAAGCATACTAGAAAATTTCATTAAAATATAAAAACATAACAGCTTTCATATCACTGGGACTAACTTTAGAATAGGTATACCTTAAGAACTTCTTAGCTCTATAAGTTCCCTACCTACAATGGGTAACTTAAGGGTCGAGATCCCTTACAGAAATCTCGTTTCGTTTTGGGAGTCATCATTATCTTTTCACAGCAGCAGCAAATCGTAAAATTTGTGGCCCAGGCCCACGTTGCGTATGCGTAATAAAAAAGACGCCGCATAATAAAAAGGGAGCGAAAACAACAACAGCAATTGTGATTAATATGCGGCACACAAACACACACACACATACACACATTGGTATACGGGCGCACATGAAGGCATGCCCTGCAAGAGGGCAAGACAGAGAAGGACAGTGTTAGAGCAAAAGAGAGAGCTGGTGTCTCTTTTGTGGTGGTGTTTGGTCAACGCCCCTTTAAATACAGTTATTTCATTGGGCCGCGACCACAAATTTATTAGTTTTTATTGTTATTGTATTGATATTTGAATTATGCCCGCTACCCCTTCCCCAACCCATTCTTCTCCTTCTTCTTCTTTTTTTTTTTTTGCTTTTCTTTTTTGTTTTCTTTGGGGAGTTCTCATGAGTAAAATGAAAAATTAAATGCCATTAAACAGAAATTTTAATTTAATTAAAATGATGAGCCATACTTTTCTCCGTCTGCTTACTTTCATCGAAACAAATTGAAGGGCCCTAAATGGGTTAAGGGATAATGGGAATTTAAGCAGATATTCGTGCCCATAATGAATGTACTTGAAATGTGTAAAAATTCAAGTAATTTATAGCCGTCAAATGTTGAGTGGAAAATATTCGAAAGTTTGAGGTTAAGTTATTTATTTTTTATAAATATGTTTGTATGTTTTTTATGTTTTATTTAAAAAGTTCATGGTATTATCTTATGATTTTTATATTTTAAAAGAACTTTTAAATTGAGAAATTTAATATTTTGAGAATGCAATAAATTATTTAAAATTTATATATATTTTTTTTAATGGAATTTTGTATGGAATTACTAGAAGATATGTACATAAAACTGAAAAATTTGTAAATCTTACAATATTAAAAAATTTGCTTATTTTTATTTTGCTTTTCTTCATAAACTCTGCCAAGAATTTAAACTATAACTTATCTTTCTAAATTTTCTAAACTTAAAGCTAAAAAATGTCTCTTAAAGATAAGCCAAAATTTTTGCCTTTAAGTTAAAGTTTGACTACAGGTACAACAACAATCACAACAACAACTATAAGTAGAGCAACAACAATAAGGAGCAATATAAGCACTGAAACCCAAGAACAGCAACAAGAAGAACAACAAAAACAACAATAAAACGCATGCTCACCCAATTGCTTTGACACACAAACCCACACATAGAAATTAAAACAAAACGCCCGCGGCAGCAGCAGCAGCAGCAATAACAACGACAACAACATCAAAAATAATAAGAACAACAGCAAGGAGAGAGCCACATCTCTAAGGCGTAAAAGAGAGAGTCAGAGACTGCTTCTATCAGGAGTTCAATATCCATACGATAGGTGCAAAAGAGACCAAGCGAGTTGCCCTGAAGGCAACCTCTTTCGACCAAAAACAACCACCATGATTGTGCCAAGAGCGAGAGAAAGAGAGAGAGAGCGAGTCGGTGAGAGAAGCCAGAGCATGTTTATAAAAGGGCCAGAACGGGATAGCACTAGCGCTGGCTCTGCCGCTGCCCTCTGCCCGCGCCGCTGCCCGCAGCCAAGTGATTCGTTTTGTACGTTGTTAGACTCTCTCGCCGCATTTTGGAATTCAGTCGACAATCGACGATAATTACCGGTGGTTGTATCACATCACATCACGCGCAGCAGCAGCAGCAGAAGCAGCAGCAAGGCAACGTAAACGAAGAAGAAGAGACAGCAGTAGCAGCAGAGAAACTCGCTCGTTTTCGGATCTATATATATATATATATATATATAAATTCGCATATATATATATATGTGCAGCATTGGCGAATTTTCGGTCGCCTTTAATTTGTTTGTGTTTTTTCCGTGTTCTCCACCGCGTGCTTGCAATTACGTGTGCGGCTAAAATAAAGACTATAATTATAAAACTAAAGTGAAAAGCGTGCCATAATTACACGAGCGAATATCAATAAGTGCGAGAGCAATGTGCGAAAATTGCTAACGAACGCAGTAGCAGTAGCAGCAGCAGTAGCAGCAAAACGCAACAGCAGCAGAAGGAGCAGCAGTAGCCAAAAAATCAACGCAACAATAAAATCGAAAAGCCTTTCAACATGATCGATGCGGCATGCAATTACTTGAATCCCTATGCGCAACAGCATCAGGCGCAGCAGCAACAACAGCAGCAGGCGCAACAGCAGCAACATCATTTACACATGCAGCAGGCGCAACATCATCTCCACTTGTCGCAGCAGCAGCAGCAGCAGCAGCAGCAGGCGCAACAGCAACAGCAGCAACACATGCAACAGCAGCAATCATCACACTTGCCGCAGCAGCAACAGCAATTGCAACAGCCGCAACAGCAGCAGCATGACTTCCTTAGCGCCGCCGCCCTTCTGTCCGCTCCCTCGTCCCTTTCCGGCTCGAGTTCCGGCTCCAGTTCCGGCAGTTCCCCACTGTACGGCAGTTCTGGCAAGCCACCAATGAAGTTGGAACTTCCGTATCCACAGGCCTCATCCACGGGCACAGCATCACCGAATTCCAGCATTCAATCGGCGCCCTCATCGGCCTCCGTATCGCCCAGTATCTTCCCATCGCCCGCCCAGTCATTTGCCTCCATTTCGGCCAGTCCATCAACGCCCACCACCACCCTGGCGCCACCCACTGCAGCGGGAGCGGGAGCAGTTGCCGGATCCACATCCTCCTCGCCCTCATCAGCGGCCTCGGCGGCAGCAGCGGCGGCCGCAGCAGCAGCTGCAGCAGCGGACCTTGGAGCAGCGGCGGTCGCCAGTGCCGCCTACGGTTGGAATACCGCCTACTCCGGATTGGGCCCACCAAGGTAAATATCTATTGCTATTATGAAGTTTGACTTGCACTTGCGAGGGGTTCTTTCTTGGTGTATAAACTTTAAGATGGGATCTTAGGTTTCAGCTTAACTCAAGTTTAACTAAGAATCTTTAAGATGGGATTAGTATTTAGAAACTGATGCTTATTGAAGATCCATTGATCAAAGTTTAACAGATAAATAACTAAAAATTATAGTTATTATATCAACTTTTAAGGTTGATTTCAGTTTCTAACTCTGCCTACTTAAAGATGATTTTTACTTTTCTTTACTAACAAAAAGAGAAGATCTTGGGGATACAACAATCTTTTCTATCATACAAATAGTGATAGATAACTTTCCCTTAATAGTTAAAATAACAAGATACGATCGGTCTAGCATATATACTAGCAAAATTACACAGATCTTAGAACAGTAATTAATTACTAACTTGAAGACAGAACAGCTATTAACTCACAGATAGTATCAAGTAGTGCATCATAAATATAGATCGGATTTCTAAGTCGCGAAAATGATAGGTTAATTTGAATATTGTTAGATTTATAACAATCTTTCAAGTCAGTATTCAGATTTATTAACTTTCTCAACACTTCATAACAAACTTTGCTATCAAATTAAAGCTTAGAACAGCTAATGATAGGACTAAATGGTGACTAAAACGGTGACTAAAACCATTAATTAAGCATTTTAAATTGCTAATAAAGGCTAGATAAAAATCTTATTCTAAAGTTTATATTTAAACTATTAAAAAAAAGTAATTTAAACTAAAAACTAATCAAATTTTTCTTTGTTTTTCCTTTGCAGAAGCCAATTTCCTTATGCCCAATACGCCTCCGATTATTATGGCAATGCAGTGGGCATGCCCTCATCCGCAGCCTGGTTTTCGCATCAGGAGCGTCTTTACCAGCCATGGAGTTCCCAGAGCTATCCGAGCTTCAACTTCGATGACATTGCCTTCCAGACCCAATTGCAACGGCGCTCCGTTCGCTGCACGTGCCCCAATTGCACGAACGAGATGAGCGGACTGCCGCCGATTGTGGGTCCCGATGAGCGGGGACGCAAACAGCACATCTGCCACATTCCCGGCTGCGAGCGGCTGTACGGCAAGGCCTCCCATCTGAAGACCCACCTCCGCTGGCATACGGGCGAACGTCCCTTCCTCTGCCTCACCTGCGGCAAGCGTTTCTCCCGTTCCGACGAACTGCAGCGACATGGCCGGACCCACACTAACTACCGCCCGTATGCCTGCCCCATATGCTCCAAGAAGTTCTCGCGCAGCGATCACCTGAGCAAGCACAAGAAGACCCATTTCAAGGACAAGAAGAGCAAGAAGGCTCTGGCCGCGGAGGCCAAGGAGCAGGCAGCGGCGGCGATAAAGCAGGAGAAGAAGGAGAAGAAGTCGGGCAAGCCATTGACACCGCCCGTGGAGTTCAAGCAGGAACAGCCAGAGGCGGCCACCACTCTGGTCAACTATGCTCCCTATGCTAATCTCTACCAGCAGGCAGCATCAGCGGGATCAGCGGGTGTGAATGCCCCGCCACCACCGCCGCCACTCTTCCAGCAGCATCAGCATGCGACGACGGGCCAGCAGATGGGCGCCAGCTATGTGGAGCCCTGGAGCAGCCGTGCCATACAACCAGCCACTACCTCAGCAAGTTCATCCTCATCCTCCAGCGCCAGTTCGCCAGCGGCAGCCGTTGTTTCCGCCACCGGTTCGGCATCTTCCCCAGCCGCTTCGGCCACGGCACTGGCCCAGCATCATTATGCCGCCCTGGCCATGCAAAGTGAATCCCAGTTGGCGGCGGAATATGGTCTGACCATGAGCGGTCTGGCCAGTGGAGCTAGCCAGGACTCTAGCTCCAGTTGCCACATGAAGTCCGAGTATGCGGCCAGTTATCCAGCGGACTTTGGGGCAAGCACAGCGGCCAGCTATGGCTATCCACATCCTCATCCGCATCCGCATCCGCATCATCACAATGCCTGGGCAGCGGCCTATCATCCACATGCCACTGCCTAGGTGTCCTACAAGGATGTCCAGGAGAGCTGCCCCAACCAGATTGTTACAGTTTAAAGTTGAGAAAACAAATGCCATAAAGTCCAACCCCCCCTTTTCCCTTCCCAAAAAAAGGCAACAAAGCAAGCGTAGAACGAAAATCTAGTGTGTGTTTTTTTTTCAGTGTTTATTGTTGACATAAAAAAGTATGTGAAAAATCAAGCAAAAAAAAAAGAAAAAGTATCCACAAATACCGCCTAAGACATTATATAATACTAAACATATATATATTAACTATACTGATAGCTAGTTCTAGGACTTGAATTTTTTTTAAAAATCTTTTTTTTTTTCCCCCAGCAACCTAGTTAAGGCATTTTTTTTTGCATGTCTGTACATAAAAAAATAGAGTTTTTTAAGCCATACCATATAGAAACGAGAGAAACCATCTAGTTGTGTACCATAATAATTGTTAATTGTCTTTAAGATAAATTATATACAAAAGGAAAAGCAAATGAAAAACCAACAACAAGGCAACACGAAAATCCTAACAATAAAAAAAAAAACGAACAAAATTATATCGAAAAACAAAGCGATTCCAGTTTTTATTATTTTTGAAACCAAAGGCACACCCTTAGGGGCTTAGGGGCTGCTTTCAGGGTTGTTTGATCATGATCCAAGGGTTGTTCTTGCCAGGAAGCTCTGCCACTTCCGGCGAACTTGATCTCCTGCTTGGGTGCTGCTGATCTTTGGCTTGGTTCTTTGTTTAATGGAAACTTTTTCTAAGGGTTTCTCTTTGTATTTGTCTGCATTCCCAGATTTATTTTCATTTTTATTTTCATTTTTATTTTCATTTCGACGGCCATCGCTTTAAAGCTGTAAAAACATTGTTAACTTGAAAGGACCCTTTTTTGGGGAATATTTTTTTGGGTTTTTTTTATATTTTTTATAGGGAAGTTACCTCTGATTGAAAGCGTTAAAAGTGCAGTTAAGAAAAGCCTCTTTATCAGGTTAGAACTATATCAGTTTAAGCTATGAAATATCAGCGATTCGATTCGTTTAATAAAGTAAGATTAAGCTTAGACATTATTTCTTAGGGTATATCTCATATCTTAGGATATATATCTTATACCTTAGGCTATATATCTTATATCATATCTCCCTGAAAGCGAGGCTTAACGCGAGTTTTAACAGATTTTTCTTTCTAAGAGATAGCTTAAGGGCAACCCTGCAACTACTTACTAGATAATATGAACTAAATCTGACTTTTACTCATTTAAAAGGGTTAAAAGTTCTTTAACTATACAAGAAAAACTTAAATACCATCCCTCAAAGTTATATTCCATCATAAAACACATATCCTCTAGCTAACCCAACAACCTAGTTAGCAGCAAGAAAGTTTTTCCTTTCCAAAAGTTACTACAGAAACCTACTACTTGCTAACCCAAAGCAATCTTCTCTTTCTCACCTGCCATAATAGATCCCAAATAAGATAGGATCCTTGGGGCAACCTTACTTACCATCTGCTAAAATCAATTTTAATCTCATTTCAGCCTGTTCCCTCCTAGTTCAGCCGGAGATCATAACTCAGCTGGGGGAATATTCAATCTAAAAGGCAACCAATGAGAGTCAATTTAGACCCAGCGACTAGCCCACTTTGGCCAGCCCAAAATGAATTGCCCCCCCCCTTCCCCAACACACACACGCAGAGTTTTTATAATTAAACGGGAAAAGTTAAGCAAAAAAAAGTGCAAAAATGAGATACAATGATGGCGTGAAGATTGGCAATCGAATTGGCGTACGGAGAGGAGATCGATCCAATCCGATCCGCTGTGAAGCAATGCAGATAGCGATGCAGATCGATTGCGGCCAATATAAAATATTGATTTATGCTGCCCTGCCCGGGCATCAATCAATTTTCAAGTTGACTGAGCGCCAAGCCTCCGAACGTGCCACGCCCCCTTAAAAAGGCTCCCTCTACCGCTCAGCCGCAATGCATTTCCATTTGTTGGGTGCAAGAAGCGGTTGACAACCTCAGTTGGGATTGGTAGGTAGGTAGGTAGGTAGGTAGGTAGGTAGAGACTCGTAGAAGAGTTTGGAGTTACTTCTTCTCTATGCGGGAGAAGGTGGAGAAGGAGGAGGCGGAGGCGGAGGGTGTGATGGGGCAGCCCAACAACTTCACACGCACGTTAATCATACGCCGCGTTGGCCACGTTAAGATCCCACAAAGCCCAAACCCTTTTTTTTCGGGGCGCTCCACTAAATGGCAAACAAAATCTGATTGATTTATAACTGAAGTCTGCGGTCAGCGAAGGAAAATAAAAAAAAAACACAACCAAAAGGGAAAAGTCCAGAAATAAAATGAAAAAAAAAATCGAAAAAAAAGGAAAAAAAATATAAAGTACAACAAGAAATACAAAATATAAAATCTCGCAGCTTAATGATGATAAATGATGATGTTATGATTTGTTAATTTTTCTTCGCTTCCCTCCGACTCTCTCTCTCTCTCTCTCTCTCTCTGTCTGTCTCTCTTTTTTTTCTGTTTTATTACGTAGAGGAGTTAACCCGAACATAAGGTATTCCGTCTTTTGGTCTTTTGGCCAGTTTAATGGCCCGAAAAGTGCTCTCCAGCTAGTCTTGTCCGGGCGAAAGTGTAATTTTAAGTATGGGTTACAAAATCGCTGGAAATGTTTGTTGGCCGGGGTTGGTCTTTTTAAATGATTTTGTTTATAGATTTCCTTTACGACTCTAATGCCTTGGAATGGTGTTTTGTTTCCCCATAGAAAGAAGATGAAACTTTTTAGGCTAAAACTTAAATATCATGAGTTTGGCAAGCCTTACTGACTTATTCTTTGGTACAATGCTATATTGGGTTGGCATCTAAGTAACTTTAAGATTTCATGATAATTCTGTGAGATTGAATAGATCTTTCTTTCGTTTAGTGGGTACTTTTTTCATAATTTTCTATAAAATTCTTACATTTCTTTTTAGCACGTCATGTTCGTTAATAATACACTTGTTTATAAAGTTTCTAAAGTTTGTTACAATCCTGTAAGGATAAATCAATCTTTAAGAGGGGCTATGCTAAATCTTTGATCAGATTTAAGGAATTTATGAAATTACAATACAAACTTAAGTCATAACTTGATATTTTCACATAGTCTGGACATAAGTAACCACTTAAGAGTCATGATAGATAAATTAGATCAGCATCTGAGAAGGTTCTGGAACTATGAAGTACATTTATTGCAATCTTAAGCAAAATTTATGTAAAATACTTAAGAGATGGAGACATATCCTTCTCTACAATTTTGTATTCGACTAAAATACACCCATTTCTGAAGTTTCATAATAATCCAGCGAAAATTAATGGATCATTAAGAGTCCTACTTTGGGCTTTTTGAAAAAACTTTTGATCAGAAGCCTCTTAAAGAACAAAAAATTTACAAACTGAAGTTATATTCCGATTAAGTGACACAACCTGAACCGCCCAGATCAGCAACTGAGAATATTTTAGAATAAATAATCAAATTTTGAGTTAAATTTTATCAAAGTACGATAGCGATAGAGGCATATCCTTCCCTACAATGTTATATCAGACTAAAATACACCCATTTCTGAAGTTTCATAACAATCCAGCGAGAGTTAATGGATCATTAAGAGTCCTACTTTGGGCTTTTTGAAAAAACTTTTGATTAGAAATCTCTTAAAGAACAAAAATTAAACAAACTGAAGTTATATTCCGATTAAGTGACACAGCCTGACAGCCCAGATCAGCAACTGATAATTTTTCAGAATAATTAATCAAATTTTGAGTAAAATTATATGAAAGCACTACAGAGATAGAGCCATATCCTTCTCTACAATGTAATATCAGACTACAATACACCCAATTCCAAAGTTTCATAACAATCCACTGAGAATTAATAGATCTGTAAGGCCCCAACCTTGGGCTAAGTAGAAAAATGTTTGCCCCGAAACCTGTTAGAAAAAACAAATTAAACAAATTACGAAATCACAGCACTAACTGAAGTCATAACCCCATATTGCGACATGAGTAACCACTTAGGAGAGGAGCAAAAAACTAGATCAGGAGCCGAGAAGTTCCCAGAATTTGTGGCTAGATGACACCACACCTATATGGCCACTCGATGGCCACTCGAGGAACCCAATGGCAGGCTGCCTTCGAAAGTGTTGTCACACATACTCGACTCGACTCGACTTGACTTCGACTTCTGGGCACGCTCCTCCAACAGAGAGAGAGAGATCTCAGAGATTCTCAAGTGGCGCTGCTTATGTTCTTTTTTTTGGGGTAACCAGATATCGCTCTAATTTTGATCGGGGCTATAAATAATATCGAGTTCTAAGCGCACTTGACTCGCTCTCTCCCCCTTATAGCTTGACATTTCCATGGAATCTGTGTTTTGATGTTCGGCGGCGCTTGGCTTGCCAGCGATCCTTTTTTTTTTGGTCTCCTCGAAAGGACAACAGCAAATTGAGTTGAGATTATCTCTCGCTCTGCCTGCGCTAAGCAAGCGTGTCTAAAAAAAAGGTCCTGCGGCCGAGATGATCGAACATGACTTAACTAGAAAATGTTTTATGTTTCATCGGCACTTGGTATTTATTAGTTTTTACTTTTCACTTTTCACATTTCCCTCTCTCTTATTTTTCTCCTTTGGTTGGGGGGGCGTTGGCGGTGGGCGTGTTTGACATGGTCATCGGTGATTATAAATTTCGGTCGTGTCCTGCGGTCGAGAACTCCTCTGTCCTGTGTGTGTGTGTGGGTTCCTTTTGCCTTTCCCTTGCCCTAGCCCTAGCCCCTTTGTCCTTCTTTGCCAAAGATCGCTGCTGCAGCATATGGCCTGTATTTGGGCTCGATGCGGGTGCAGATCTCGGCAGAAAGGAAAAACTGGGCACTGGTGGCTAAGATGACATGTGTTTAAAGGATAATCGCGCAACGAGATCGCAATCTCGATTGGCAAAAGGCCCGAGATAAACGGCTCGACGATGGATTGACTTCAGCTGGGGATTAAAATGTAGATATGGAAGGCAAGCCTAAGAATGAAATGACTTCATTTATGGCCAACTATTATTGAGCTCCGATCGAGGGGAAATATTAATGATATTACTCGGTTAGAGTGTAGAACAGAGGGTGTTGATAAGGTAAGCGCTTAAAATTTAAATATATTTTAAGCTGGCTTATAGTAAACCTAAAAATTGTAAGCCTTTTTTTATTGAATATTTTAATTTATGTCTTAATTGCTTGGTAAAATATAAAGACATAAACTGTAAATGTTAAAGAAAACTCATTTTAAAAATCTTCATCACTAATTAGTAGTAAATATTATTTTATCTTTATAATTTAAGGTTATTTTTCTTCATTTTTATATATTTTAAGAGCTAAACTTAAGCCTTTCAGCGCTTTTAATATTTACCAATTTGCATTTTACATTTGGCAAAGAAAAGGTGCTTAAAAAACTAAACTTTTTGGAATGCTTTTTGGTTTTAATCAATTTTATACATTCTTCTTATT